TGCACCCCCCCACCCCCACCCCCTTTTTGCTGTAGCAATCTCTCAGATGTACCCACCAATGTATTGAAAACTTCCCTTGATTCATGACTTTCTTTATTCTGTAAAACTATAAAACTTCATGCAACTGCTCCCATGTTGGGACACGGAACTTGGGGTAACCTAAACTCATGCTCCTAGGCCATGGTCACTCAAAATGGTTTTGAATAAACTATCGCCTATTCATTTTAAGAAGAGAGCTGTGGTGTTTTTTTTTGTAGATAAGTTCGTTCCGTACACATTAGCCATTTTTTTTCCCACAAATTAGGTTGTGTGTTTGGGGTGAATGTTAACTTCTAAAAAAGATCTTTCTAAGAAAGGAATAACTGAATAAAGAGAGGGGCCTCATTAACGGGTCTTCGTTTGGTTTCCTGAAGGGAGAAAGATATAACGTGAGAGGGGCTGAATTACGGCAAAGGCCGGTGATAAAACTCAAGACGCCGGGGAGGAGATTTGGAGGGTTTTGAGGGTAAATTCCAATTAAAGGATAAAAGGGAAGCCCAGCACTGGAGCAAGATACGTGATGTTCACAGCTGGGGATTTGTAGACGGTGAGTTGGCAATAAGACCCAGGTGGGGAGGAGCTTTAAAGACCCAAATGAATAGGGATGTGAGGTAAACTATTTTAAATCATGTTTAATGAGCTAGAGATGGAACAAGCCAAGCAGAACCGAAACACATCTCTTTCCTATCATGAGGTGTCGGGGGAGGAAGCGACAAGAGCATTCGCCTCAGTAAACAGCTGCAGTGAGGGGAAACTGAGGCCCAGGTACCCTGGAGGTGGGAAGTGGAAAGGAGAGAGGTGTCTCAGCATGATCTTGTCACAGTTGCCTATGCACATTTCAAGGCCTGAAGTGGTTGTTAGCCCATCTGCTTGCATCCTGACCGATGTCACTGTGCTGGCCACCTCAGTGCAGGTCAACAGCACCACATCTCGCTGTGACATCCACACACACGGTACTTAATCACGCACAGCAGCATTCGCCCCTTGATTTTCGGTAAATGTGCTCTTTTACTAGTAATGTCTGAGAAGCGCTGGGAAGACCATGGCTGTCTCAATACCCCCGAGTCTCCAGCTCTCAATGGGTTGTCAAAATGGAAAGCAACTACGAACTGCTTGAGTGGTACGCTGCGGGGATAGCTCAGCTGGTAAAGTGCTTGCCTTGTAAACTCAAGAACTTGAGTTCAGTCCCCAGAACCTGCATGAGAAGCTGACTGTGATGGTATGCACCTCCATCCCAGTGCTGGGAAGATGGAGTCAGGAGGGTCCTGGGGACCAGCTGAGCTACGTGGTTAGTTCCAAGCTCAAAAACAGAAACAAATAAGGTAGATGGTGTCTGAGGAATGACAACTGAAGGTTGACCTCTGGCCTGCACATACACACATGTATGCATACACACACACACACACACACACACACACACACACACACACACACACACAATGCTTGGAGGGCTGAGAGCACTATCCCTTAGCTTTTAAGCTGGTCAGGGAAAGGCCATGCAGCCACAGGGCAGCCTGAAGGAGTCCTGAGGCACTGGCCTGTCCTTAGGTGTGGTGGTCCTGTCAGAGTTTTGCTGGGAGCAGTCAGAAACCTTCTGAGCTCCCTGCTGCTAAAGCCACTGAAGCCAATAATCATTTGAATTGTCACTGGTTTCTAAGCCACAGAGAATCTGCCTTTCCACACTGTTAAGGTCAGCTGTACCTCCACATCAAGGGGCCCACTTTGCCAGGAAGTGATGGACCTGGGGAAGTGAGTCACAACTCACTTGTGTGTGCCTGGACTCCTACTGCAAAGGTCTTAACCTTTTTGTTTATGACAGTTCTGGGGATGGAATGCAAAGCCTTGTGGTCCTTTCTATCACTGTACTGTATCCTAGCCACAGAGCATAGGTTTTAATCAAAGTCAGTGTTTTGGGTTGAACAGAGATTTTTCATCATTAAAACTGAGCGAGCTAACAAGAGTTGAACATTTACCCTCATAAAAGGAAAAAGACATGAAATGCTTGGCTGGTGGTCCTGTTGGTCATGAGCTCTGACGCGGTCCATTGTGATTGGGTTTGTTCTCTCTGGTCACCATTCCGGGAAGGTTTGAGTTTTAGTCTTGGCCCTTGTGTGTGTGTGTGTGTGTGTGTGTGTGTGTGTGTGTGTGCATTCAGATTCTTGGAGGAAGCTAGAGGACAACCTCTGCTGTCTTTTTTCTGTCTCTCTTTATCCTTATTTTTTGTTTTTCTTTTTACATTTTATTTACTCTGTGTGTGTGTGTGTGTGTGTGTGTGTGTGTGTGTGTGTGTGTGTGTGTCCAGGCATGTGAAGGTCAGAAGGCAACTTGTGGGAGTTGACTCTCTCCTTCCACGTGAATCCTGAAGATCAAACTCAAGTCCTTGGGCTTGGCAGTCGGTGACTTAACCCACTGAGACATCTCTCAGGCCTCTTCTTCTTTATTTTTTGAGACAGGGTCTCTTCACTGATTTGGCTAGGTGGGCTGACCATTGACTTCCATATCTGCCTGTCTCTGCCTCCCCAGCATTAAAGGTGTGCTCTCAAGCTTGGCTTACTTTTTATTCAGGTATATGATATATTTTTATCATATTTCCCGCCCCCCCCCCCCATTTTCCTTCATTCTCCTTCCCACTCCCTCTGGACCCCTCCTTCCTACCCCCACCCCCATCTCTTATTGTTAGTCTACTGAGTTTAATTAGGGTTGTTTGCATGTGTCTGGGGGTGGGGTTATTTACTGGGTTATGGGCACCATAACAATGGCTACATCACTGAAGAAAAACGATTCCCCCTTCCCTACCAGTCATTAACTGCTGACAGCATCTCGGCTGGAATCTCGTAGATCTTATGTAGGTAACCTTCTTGAGCCTCACTCAACCTAACCTTATTTGGGGTTTGCCTCAATGAACTATGGAGACAAGGCCTCCTGTGCTCCAGGCTGGCCTCAGAGTCTCTATGAGGCAGAGGATGACCCTGGAACTCGTGCCCTCCGTCCTCCAGTCCTGAGTCCTGGGATCACAGCACTGTTCCACCACACCCAGCTTTGAACTCATTTCTTAATGCTTTCTCTGAGTGTTTCTCACTGAACTTCTCTGCCACCTCCACTTGAGACGCACCTGTATACCTGGATGCCAACATCCTTCTCTATGTCCCATAGTCCCCTTTTTGAATCTTCCTTTTTCAGTCTTCTCCATCCTGGGGTCCTTGGACCACATCAGGGACACAAGGGACTGCTGCAATAATGGTGAAGTGTTGACCCGGAGGGGAACCCAGGAGGCACAGAGGAACATTTGTGTCAATGTGGGCTGAACTTTGAAGGATTCGGGATGGGAGCCTATAGAGTAGGAAGGGAGGCAGGCAAGATAACATGCTCTTTGAGGTCGGATTGAGATCAAAGAGACTGCAAGGGAGGAGCCTGGACCCCAGTCTTTGCAAGTCTGGGGAAGCTGAGTATGGGCCGAGTGTGGCTGTGCTGCTGCTGCGGTCTGTCAGCCTGTTGAGGGTATGAGTGGCTGGAGTAAGAAGTGTTCTGTAGGTGACGGCGTGGGTGTGCATTGCTGTGGAATCGGCCTCTTTAATCTGGCGGCACACAGATAAAACATTCCCACAGTCTATCTGCACGTGATTTCTTTTCTTGTTCAAATTCTGAAACAACGCGAACCAGTTTGCCACAGCAAGTTTGCTGTGTCTGTGTTCAGCATCTGAAACATTGGTCTTGAAAACTTCAGTTTTCCTGTATGTCGCCAAAAGCACCGTTTCCCTGTTGTTGCTATCTGATGGTCTTCCTTCACCCGTGTCTCCTGAACTGTCTTTTGGAGTCCTTCTTGCTTGAGTATGGGTCATTCTCCATAAGTACTCCTGTGTATGTGTGTGTTCATGTGTGTTCACATATACATACGTGCATGTGTCCTTCTTCAGAAGCTGTCTACTTTGTTTTTAAAAAGTGTAGACTCTTTCCTAGGACCTGGGGCTCATTGATTAGGCTAAGCAAGCTGGTCAGTAAACCTCAGGGAGTTGGCTGCCTCCACCTGTCCAGTCCTGAGGTTATAGGTATGGGTCACCATGCTGGGTCTTTTGATATCAGACTGAAGACTCAGTTTAGGGTCTTGTTCATTCATGGCAATCACTTTAACAATGTCACTATCTTCCTAGCCCTTTGTATCTTCTATCAAACAGAATATGGCAAAAATAGTGGGATGCCATTTACAATACCAGGGCATAAAAGGATTGTGCCTTTATTTCAGATGGAAGCCTCACATTACCGCCTAGGAGCCACATTCTGGGGGAAGCCTCCTTGGACATATAGAGAGATGACCACATGACAAGGAATTGACATTCCTAGCCAAAGCCTGACAATAGCCACAAGTGTGGGCTTGGAAGCAGATGTCTCTACTCAAGGCTTTCGCTGACTAATGTCTCAGCCAACACCTGTTGGTGTCATAAGAACCCCCTAGGTCAGAGAGCCATCAGAGGTCTATCTGCATTGTGACTCACAGAGACTATAAGATAACATATGCTGGCGGCCTTCAGCTGCTAAGTTTGGGTAATCTATGGTATACCAGGATGACGATTTTACCTGCTAAGGATGGGCCTGTGGAGTGTAGCTATGGTGTGTCCATGTGGTAGTATACAGGTCATTCAATGCAGTGTGATATGGAAATATATGTAGAAGACAGGGAGATATTCACAACATACAATTATTTGATAATAGCCAATTATCACTAAGCCAGCTGTAGAGTATGGCTCATGGTACATGTCAACTTTCTTTTATTTGGCCTTTTGGGATGGGGACTCACTATGTAGCCCAGGCTTGCCTGGACCTTGTGGTCCTCCTCCATCAGCCTCCCAAGTGCTTGAATTATGGGTGTGTACTACCACGCCCGGCTCAGCCCAAGATACATGTTTGCCAACATGCACTAAATATAGAATGTGGTATTTATAGAATGGGATATTTGTTATTTTATAATGTGTCTACATAAATAACCTTTGAAACAAGAGGAGTTGGGCTAGGGATGTAGCCAGAAAAGTACCTACACAGCATGTGCAAAAGCCCTGGGTTCAATTCTCAGCATCGTAGCCAAAACCCAGGGCAAAGCAGACAGGTGCGAGAACACTACCCTCCCCCTTCACACACAGGACAGACCTAAGTGTGACCCTGTGATTGTTATACTTGGAGGTATCAGGACATCAGCGAGTAGGTTTCCAAGGCAACTGGGGCAAGACTAGTACCCTTTGCAAAATCAACATTCCACAGTGCAGTGAGTAACCCCTGGTCCTAGTACTTACTGGGATTCTGGGGCACTGCCGTTCAGGCAACACTGAGATCATCAGAATGCCCACAGATTTCTACCTGTGCCTGGCATAGTCCTCAGCTTCAGGCAGCAAAGCTTAGAGGCAGGATGGCTTTCAGATCCCAGCAGGTTGACCAGCAGGAGGTAGAGGCTGTCTGGGTAGTTCTAGTATTTGGGAGTTCAGGCAGGGGTTTGAGCCGATGCTTGACGTCATTCTCAGTGTGTCTCAAACACTGTCTATGCTAGGGTGCTCGGAGTGAGACTCTAGAAGCCATAGCTCTGGGTGAGATGAAATCCATGTGATAGCTGCATCCTTCCGGTGGCTGGCTCCCCAAAGTAGTTTTCAGTCCCTCCAGGATTCATTCATCCCTAAGGAGACCCATTAGGCTTCCAGAAACACAAGTGTTGGATAGAAAAAAGTCCTTCCTGAGAAATTCACAATTTGCCTAAACTTGGCACTTGTGCTAATGAACTGGCGGTACATCTCAGAGGCGACGAAAACTTACAGAGGTGATGGAGCCTTACAGAGGTGACGGAGTCTGACACTCACTCCACGGATGAGAAGCAGCTGCCGCCAGCACTGTCCTCTGTGATGCTTAAGACTGGCTGTCAACTTGGCAGGATGAAGCGTCAGCATGAGATAAACATTGGGGCATGCTTGTGAGGGAGCTTTTAGATTAAGTTCATTTGGTGGGAAGAACCACCTCAGGGGTGGGGGTCCTGGGCTCAAGGAAAAGGAGAAAGTGAGCTGAGCACCAGCGTTTGTCTTTCTCTGCTTCCTGACTGTGAATGCACTGTGCTTAGTCACCTCAGGATCCTGCTGCCACGCCTCCCCTCCATGGCAGACTGTGTCCTCTTGAACCATGAGGCAAACTAAACTCCGCCATCCTTAAACTGTTTTTATCAGGGCCACAGCAATGAAAAAAGTAAAAACTGCACATTTTATTTACTTCCTCCCAAACACTCACATACAGTCGGCTGTGAGGAGCTGGTGTCTGCAGGGTAACACTTCAGGGCTGGGGATCATTCTGAGTTTGTTCCTGGTTTGGCCAATCAGTAACTTGAAGTGTGACCTCCAAGTTCTCAATTTTCCTCAGCTGGAGGCTCTTGTTTCATAGCATGTCAGGAGAACTGAGTTCCAGGTTATTGTTATGTCAGCTGCATTCACATCAGGGTTCCTCCTGAAAAATGGTTGGTGAAGAGTGAGCCGGTGTGGTGATATTTTTGTATGGGCTCTAACAAATAAAGCTTGCCCGGAGATCAGAGTGTGGAGCTAGCCACTAGAGGCCAGGCAGTGGTGGCACACACCTTTAATCCCAGCACTTGGGAGGCACAGGTCTTTAATCCCAGCACTTGGTAGGAGGAAGCAGGAAGTGATAAGGCTGGGTGGAGAGCTCGGCCCCTTTCAGTTGGAGGATTCTTAGAGGTAAGAAGTCTTTCTAGTGGCTGGCTGCTCTGCTTCTCTGATCTTTCAGCTTTTACCCTCATATCTGACTCTGGGTTTTTATTATTAAGACCAATTAGAATTCCCACTACAAGCAGGTCAGTCAATGGAGAATGTTTTATATGTGTGTGTACGTGAGGGTGTATGGAAGTGTGTATTCATGCAGGTACACGTGTGCGTGCATGTGTATGTGGAAGTCTACCTTGGGTGTCGGTCCTTAAGAGTCATTGAGCTCATCAATTAGACTAGACTGCTGGCCAGTGAGCTCCTTCGACTCTCCCGTCTAGCCTCAGCCCCACTGGGGTCACAGGTACACCATCTCATCTTTTCGTTGCTGTTGTTTCTTTTTTATGTGGATGCTGTGGGTAGAACTCAGGTCCTGGTGCAGCAAACACTCTACCAATTGAGCCATCTCCCAGACCTGTGGGAAGCTGTATAAGTATAAGCAGAAGACTTAAGTTCTAGGCTTACCCACTGATATGAGACAAATTGGAGTTGGAAGCAGTGCAGTACCACAGTGCTGGTGAGGTGTGGATGTGAGATGCAGGCCCAGATGCTTCTGTCTGGATCAGGACAGAGGGGGCTCCCAATTCCCAAATTCCCAGAACAGCTCAGAGGAAGGAATGGCTATGAATATAACTCACCCTAGGCAGCCCTCGCCCAGGAAGTCTGTAGCAGCCTTCCAGTTGGACAGGGCCAGAAGTCGTTTCTTTCTAGAGAATGGGCAAGTCTCTTCTGTGGGAAATGGCTAGGGCAGCATCCTTTGTTCTTCTGGAAGGGAAGAAAGAACAATTGAATGACTTTAATGAGTCTTACAGCAACTTCAGCATCCGGGAATGTACAAAAGGTCCAGGAGGGAGGGAGCTACAGGGAGACAGATGGGAAGTGACCGCTGCTGGCTTTAATGGGCAGGATCTGTCCGTGTACTTTTGGGAATCTTTTTGTCAGTTTGCTCCCAGAGGTTTTCATTTAAGTTTGAGATTCAGATGTGTCCTTACCCCAAAGGTCAAAGGACACCAGTAACACCAGATGTCTATCACTTGCCCCACAAATATCATCTCAACTAAACTTCACAGTGACCTTGTAAGGGAGAGACTTGAATGATCATTTCAAAGACGAGGAATCTGAGGCCCAGAAAAAGGAAGCAGCTATTCCTTATGGGAAGAGAAGTCTACAGAGGAATTCAAATTTGCTTCCTTCTTGGCCCTTCTCCCAAGATGACCTTTTCAAGTCCAGGAGTCCTGTGCTCTCCTCTACAGCGTGTGTGAAACCATGTGTTTTTGATGGGATACCTCTCTGCACAGTTCTAGTCCAGAGGCTTATGAGAAACCTGGGGGTTTTCTTAGAAGCACCTTGACTAAATGCTAGGAGCAGTCTTCCCTGAACTCAGAATTCTGTGGGTCAGCGATGACCAAGTACCCCAAGTTGCTGCCAGAGAAAACAGGACTCCACCACCGCCATAGCTCTTTTTTTTTCTCTATTTCAGAACCACACAGACCAGCATCCCAATGACTGTGTAAACTCTGGGCTGCCTTCTTGTGCCTCCCTTAATGAAAACTTAGAGGATTCATGCTGAGCTGTTGCAGGAATGGCCTTGCTCAACCCCTCCATCAACCCTGTAGGGACTTCTTTGAAAAAAGAAAAGTAAAGAAGAAAATCAGACAAAGTGGACACTTTTTATGAGAATCAAATAGAAAGGAGCGATTTCTTCAGGGTTCACATACTCTCAGAAAAGATAAGAAAACCATTATTGTTCTGACAGGGAAGGAAATGTCTCAGGGAGGGGTGGAAAGCCACTTACCTCTCTCCCTTTCCTCTAACCACAGGGGTGTGAAGACGCTGAACTCGGTCTGTGAAGGCCCTCCAGCGTTCTCCCCATGACTTCCATTCCAGCAGATGGGGATCTACTTAGTGACCTCCAAACCTGCCAGGAATGGAGGTCGTCCCAGCCTCCAGAGCCCCTCATCCCTGTGTTGAACAGTCTCTCTGGCAGGAAATGGCTCCTGGTGCCTGATGCAGGACCCCAGCGGGGCTGCAGCTGTGCCTGCTTCCGCCTGACCAAGTCCTCAGGAGGGTTAACTTGGTTTCCTCAGCACTCCCTGAGTGTCAAAGTCCCTCGCAGACTCCTCCTTTCCCAAATCAAAACACACATGTTCTTTCTTGAGTGCATCGTTCTGAGTCTGAGCCTGCAGGGGTCTTGGATCCCAGCTGTCCCTGTCATCCTGTCTCCTCGCCGAGGGCAGGGCTCGGATGGCCTGGGTACTGCAACTTCTAGACTCCCAGCTCAGGCCCCGAAGTAGCTCAGTTAACTTAGGGTCATGAGACATTTTTGGACTTGCTCCCCAAAATAGCCCTGGTAACTATTTTTTGGTTTCATGCATCTCTGGGAAATTGAGTAAAAACAGAGACTGGATGTCTGTTTTCTAGTCTGTGTCGTGGTTTGATTTCTAAAGGTGAAAGACAGTAACATGGGCTGGGAGGCAGCTCAGTGGTAGAATGCCTGAAGATTTATCATGAGGAACAGAGGTCCATTCCCAGCACCCACATAAAAAGCTGGGTGTGGTGATACACGCTTGTAATCGGAGCCCTGTGACAGGAAGATCGACGAGGCTTATTGGTCAGCCAGCTTAGCCTAATTGGTAAGCCTTGGATCCTAGTGAGAGTCTCTATCTCAAAAACCAACATAGAGGCTCCTGAGGAATGGCACCCGAGGTTAGCCTCTAGACTCCTCACGCACAGCCCCCCCACACACATACAGTGCTCCTGCACACACAAAGTCGTTGTGTTATAATTTGTATAAAGTTAAAAATCATTAGCAGCATCGTACCTTATTGTGGTAACGTTGACATAGAAGATATAATTAATTACCCTGAAATATTAACGTTTCATGACAGCAGGTCCCATACCTGGAGTGATGAGTGATAGGAGGCAGTGATCTGGATAGTTGATAAGGAGTATTACACATGTCAGCGGAACATCCCATGCTTATTCTTTCTCTCTGTTTGTGTGTATGTATGTGTGTGGGAGTGAACGAGATGTATGTATGTATGTATGTATGTATGTATGTATGTATTCATGTGGGTGTGGGTACCCATGCCTATAGGTGCCTACTTTCACATGGAGTTCAGTTGGCACTGAGTATCTTCTTCAGTCTTTCTCCACCCTAATTTTTGAGACAGGCTCTCTCATTGAACCTGGAACTCATCAGTTGATTAGAATGGCCTGTCACTGAGTTCCAGGAGTCCCCTTATCTTCCTGCCCCCTCTGGCTACCAGGGCTGGGGTTTCTGACGTGGACCACCATGACTGGCTTTACATGGAGCCTGGGGATCAGATGCCTTGATTGCAGGTACTTTATCAACTTAGCTGTTTCCTCAGCACCATCTATTGTCTCTTCTAATTCACAGGTCATCGGCTACCTGCAGTGATTATCTGCCATGTGCCTGGCTATTCTGGCCTTGGCTGGGTCCTTTACTTGGTTTCCTGAACACACTGGGTGTTCTGGGCTCTGCTCTGGTTCTGTGTGGAGCAGAAAACGCTCGGCATTTACTCCTGGCCTGTGAAATATAAATTATTGTGGTGCTGAATAGACCCTTTGAGCGTGCTGTCAGTGATGGTCCAGGGCTGGACACCCCCACTTTAGGAAGAAACCAGTGACAGCATTCCAGATTTTGCAAGCATCTTAAACAGAGGAAATTCCAGTGTGCCATGTGAAATCCCTTTGCAGAAAGAAGCAAGGGGCCCATACTGGTGACTTACCCTGATAAGGAGCTTGAAAATTCAGAAGCAAAAGAAACGGAGAAGGATCGTGACATAAAGATGCTGTGTGATCACCGGCTCTCGAATGGCAGTCCCTCACTTCGTACACTTGACCCCACACCACAACAGGCTGTTAGGCACCTGCTGTTTTAAAAAGCAAACATTAGCTTTCAGAACAGGGGTGCCCTGGAATGGAAAACTTAAATTGTTATCTAATTAGTGTTCATAAATGAGGTCTGAGGTTGCAGGCAGTGTGAGACTCATCATTGCCTCGTACAAATGCATGGAAGTGAAAGTGATTGAAGAGCTGGTGCTGCAGCTGTTGCTCGCTTGGTAGGATGCTCCTCTGGCACCCACACAACCCTGTGGTCAGCATAACTCAGCTGTGCCATCCAGGCTCCTGCCTGCTCCCTGTCTGGGAGCCCATGGTTTCCTTTCGTTTGCAGTGCTGGGAATGGAATGGATGTAAAAACAAAACAAAAGAGCAGTAGCAGCAGCGACAACGAAAAAAATGAGTGTGGAGGAGCTGGGGAGGTGGAGACGGGAGAGTCCCTGGTGGCCCTGGGCAGCTAGCTTAGCCTGCGTAGAGAGTTCCAGGTCTCAGGGAGAGAATCCTTCTCAAAGAACAAGGCAGAAGACTCCTGGAAAATGGCCTCTGAGGCGGACCCCTGGCTTCACAGGTGCACGGACACCTGCGCCCACACACTTGCATGCACCCCCATAGACTGTATGCTGAAGTACCATGGGTGTTTTTTTTTTTTCTGGAAATCAAAAGCCATTTTTTAATGGAATATTTGGAGGAAGGTTTCATTGACCCATATACAAATTACAATACACTTCTAAGTCAACCCTCTCCCCTCACATGCCAACAAACAGATTTCATTCCCATGCTGTGGGCTGTAGACTGAAGCCAGCAGCTTCCTGTGCAAAGTGGCTACAGCTTTGCTTAGGAAGGAAGCATAGTCTATCAGCAAGCCTGGGTGGTCACAGATGGCTGGCAGCAGAGCCCTGGCTTATGGAGACCACTGCATTCCCCCCTTTCGGAAATTCATTCTTTTCTAATGATTATGGAGGGGAAATATGAGTCAGGTACTGTGTGGCAGTATGCTCAACAGAAGCTCTATAATATCGCCTTGCCCAGTCATCTTTGCCATAGAGCCCGCCCTCTGCTCTCTCTTTCTAATAACTAACAGGATGACCACGGTAATTCTTCCCACGTTTAAGACTAGCCAGCGAAAATACCAGTTCAGAACCCCGGGGCTGTGTAATAACTTGTCTGTCACCGTTGTGTTTCATCGCAGCCCCGTGGCTAGCTTTCATAGAGCTCAGGGACCTGTTTGCTAGGGAATCACTTAACGTGCAGAGTGATCGATCATGTTCTGTCCCTGTGTGCTAACACAATGTCACATCCCACCCCACCCCCAGATCATCTATAAGTGCATGGATGGCTGCATGGGGGTCAGTATCCCCTTTGGCAGGACTCTTTTCAGAAATGACGAAGTCAATCAAATCTAACTTTTATCTGAGATGCTGTTTTCCCATAGCAATCTTTCTCCCCCCCGCAACCCCACCCCGCCTCTCTCCCTTCTTCCATCTTTTCTCCCTCCCTGCCTTCTCCTCTTCCTCGTTTTCTCTTTCTCTTCCCTTCCTCTTCCTTTTCTCTCCCTCTCTCCTCCCCCTTTCATTGAGTCACACCTCCCCACTCACCATCAGTGGCCCATTCTGGGGTCTTATGGCTCACTGACCTTTTGTGAATGTGACTGAAGTGAGCACTTCCTAGCACAACGCCTGGAAAAGTAAGGCCCTTTCTTTCTGGCTCAGAGCACTTCAGAAACAGAGCAGACAACCTTTTAAAGGTTCTTAGTGGAAACATTATAGAGAAAATGGCTTTTTATGCTCAGTGGAGGCTTGGAACAAACACTTTTCAAAACTTCCGAAGCTGAGCTTTGTTGAAATTGTTCTCAGACACCTAGTTCAGTGCAGGGAGCCAAGAAAGCTTAAAGAGTGTAAATGGGTAAGGAGTTTGCTCTGTGCTCACCATTGAGTGTTTTGCTTACAAAGAAAAGCAATGCTCTTTAAAGGGGCTTGTTGAATGAGTTCTCCGGATAAGAGTTCTGTTTTGAAGTAGGTGACGCGTGACTTCTCTGGAGCAGGGGACCTCATACCCAGGTTCTTACACAGAGGGAGCAGGTGCCACTGCACAAACTGATCAAGACAGAGGTCAGATGTGCCGGGCACTCAGGTCATCCCCATGTACACTCACGAGGCAGCCTTTTCTGAAGCCCAATACAGCTACTCACAGCATCTCCCAGTTGAGGTGGTAAACAACTTGGGTGTTGACTGGTAGAGCGTGTCTGTGTGTGTTTATAATTAAGTCAAAGGTGCAGGGAGGAGAGAAGAAGAGGAAACACAGTTTCATTTCCCATGAACTCCCTTGAGTTGAGTAGGAACATAAGAGACCACAGTCTGTAAAATAACAGCACATGGACTTCACCAGGACAAGAGCAGAGTACTTGGCCAATGACCAGCATCCAAGTTCTTTCCGGTTGTCTACCACGTGAGCTAAAAGCTCCTCAGTGCTGAGCCAACATGTGCTTCTAGAAGTTCATCATCTCTGTTATAGAAAAAGAACAGCATCAAGGCTGGGTTACACTGGCAAATGCCATGCTTAGCTAGGTTGTGGGTTTAAGAAAAAGTTACTTCGTGAATGTATGTGGGAATCATCTGAATGTGGGGCACATCAGACCTTCATCTTGTTCAGTCTGGGTAGTGGCAGCAGCTTAACAAAGAAATGACACTTCTACCTCAAAAGACCCTGGAGACCCGATGGAGAGAAATCCAGATATTCTGTTTTAGAGTCATCATGTCACTGTTGAGTTTCTGCCTGCCACCTCAGCAATGTCAAGAGATGAACCACATACTAACAGCCCAGCACCAGAATGACAGGGTGTGTCCATGTGTGTGGAAAGCATGCTCAGGCATTTGAGAAGATATGAGATTTCGTGGCTTTCCTATGTGTATGTGATGGTATTATGTAACTGTGGGAAAGTGGGCTCAGACATTCGAGAGAACCCGAAGTGTCATGACTTTCTTATGTTACATGATGCTATTGTGTAACTCTGGGCAACTGCCTGGATGTCCTAGGCTTCCGTTTCTCCATCGTAAGAACAGTGACCTCAAGGTCAGCCCCAGATCACTCAGGAGGTCCCGTGAACTGTGCGAGTGTTGTTCACTGACTCTATGTTCCTGTATGGGGCCTGTAAGACAGTCAAGCTCAGAGGAAGGGCTGCTGAGGGTTAAAATGAATTACCAAGACTGTGGCACTTGAGAAGTATCCTTGAGGTGCTGAGGGCAGAGGGGCCACCTGCGGACTTGGAGGCCTGAAGCATACCCCACGTCCACTGAGCCATGGT